ATATATATATATATATATATATATATATATCAGTCTCATTTACATTATTTGGGAATTAAGTAGACAAAGTGTTGATATTACACATCAATTTCTACTAAGTAAGATATCTGTACTGTTGACAGTCATTAGGAAACCATTACCATTACAGGGCAAAATGAATGTTTAGGGAGAAATGCTAAGTTGTATATTATATCAGAAGTGAAGTTTACACTATACATGTGAGCTAGTAATTTGCATTCATTTACACATGAATTATGTCTAATCAGTTTAGGAAAAGAGTTTAAAGGCAAGATTATGCTGGCAATATTCTTGTGGAATATATGCAAATAATGTTTGATTTACCTGTCACTGTAAATATCAGTAGATGGCAAACATTGTCTTTTAAATTGTGCAGTGTATCCAGTAACTGATAGGACATCTGCATTAAGTTCTGTTGGAACTTTTTCAGTACATATCGGAGAGCCTAGCATTATATCTTCAACAGAAGGATTCGTAGCTATCTGTCCTTGGTCAGTTTGGTCTGCGGTTAAGGCACCAGGTTAAAAAGCAAAAGACCGTCAGTTCAAGTCCTGCCTTACTTATGAAAGCCACGTGGGTGATCTTGGGCCAGTTATTTTCTTTCAGTCTGATTTTTCCTCACAAGGTGGTTGTTGTGGTGAAAGTGGAAGGAAGAAGGTGTGTTGGATATGTTCGCCGCCTTGATTTATTTGTAAAAAAATAAATAAATAAGGGTGGTAAATAAATAAATGCCAAGATAAGTTCTCAAGATAAGTTCTTCCATTTACCACTAATGCAGTATCCCATCTTTGAAACATGTTGGATAATTTCTCCTATTTCCTTATCAAGTTTTAAGAAATCATCTGGGATGAAAAAGTTTCAAAAAACCATTTATCTACCTTTAAGAAGGAGCCCTTCAAAATGGGTGGAAAGTCATAATCTTTTTAAAAAGAATCTTCTATCACTGCTTTGTGTAGCCGTTTCATCCACAGTATTTCCAAAAGCTCATCATCTAATGCAAACACTAAATCTTCAGTTGCAACTATATTAAAGCATTTACAGGAGGTCACAACCAACCCCACCCCCAACATTCCCACGGAATCTGAGTAGGCAGGAAGATTGCAAAGAAAAAAATAAAGTTTTGGCTATAGAATCTTGTAAATTGGATATGTGTACTTGGCGCTCATTTATCAGTAAGTATTAAAGCAGTGCCTCCTAATTGCCTTTGATCCTCTTTCCGAGACTTGGTTTAATGGGTAAGCTACTAATTGCTTACTTGATTCCACAAAACCCGTCCATCTGTTCTTGTTCTGCAATATTTTGGAAACATCCATTTTCTTTCTCAGGCTCAGAGAGTTCTGTCACAACTACTATGAAAGAGATCTTATTTTCAACAGCTGTAATGGAAACTGAATCTGTGAGTAATTAATATGATTGTTTACAGCTTAGATTCCTTCCTCCATGGCCTCCATGCCTTGTTCAAAGGAGACTTTCGAATTACATCAAGAGATGAATGGGTGTTTGCAGATATGGACCTCTTGCACCAAGTTGTTGCTCCTGCAATTAGAATGTCATTGAAACTACATCAAGTGAGTTTTCCCCTTTTCTGCAGCAAATAACTTCTTGTAGTTATACAAACTTTATTATGCTGATAATGTGGTAGGGCCATAACAAAGGCAACCAGAATGGCCAGTTAAATTCAGATGAAGCATTAAATGTGTTGCTGTGAATTTCTTCTAAGAAATGCACTCAAACTATTAACTATTAGAAATGTAGATCTTAGGATGTATTTTAGTCACTTTATCATTTTACATGTAGTAAAACCTGTCCCTCATTTATTCGACCATTGAATAGACGCACTGACGTTGTGTAGTAAATGAATAAAAATGCATTCTTAAAAAATGCATTCAGACATTTCAATGAATTTCTCATCTCTCTCTTCTGGGTCATCTGGTATCACCAACCAGGACAGGCTGGTGCTACCAAAGATAATTAAAACCAAATCATGTGCTAATAATGGGATTATCCCAGTGAAGCAAGCCCAAACTGCTACACGCCTTCATTGAGGCTTTTTGCTACACCTCTGCACAATTCCAGTGAAGTTTCTAAACCTAAAACCTGTCATCTCTTCATACATGTTTCTGATCACAGCCATGCCTTTCCTTTAATATCAGGACCAATTCACCTGCCCAGATGAATATGAGGATCCTGCTATTCTTTACGAAGCAATTCAGTCCTTTGAAGAGACAGTTGTGATTTGTCACGAAGGAGATCCTGCTTGGCGCAGTGCCATCCTCTCAAACAAAGAAGAGCTCCTTACTTTTAGGCATGTGGTAGAAGAAGGAACGGATGAATATAAAGTGATTATGCTCCACAAAAGCTACTTAAGCTTCAAAGTAATCAAGGTACCACCACCACCTCTGCCTCACGTTCATTGTTTAATGGTTTACAGTCATAGCTGCTGTATTTAGAATTTTATTTCCATTCTTAGCCAGATAAGTCTCTTGACAGAGTGGCATAGCAAAGGTTAGAACTGAGATCTAAAGGCCATTTAATTGCAGGGTGGCGACGTGATGGGAACAGCAGTTTCCAAGACAAGAATTAATATTTGGATAAACAGGCATGTCGGAACCCCTAATCATTGTTTTTGATTTCTTCTTTTTAGAAGCATTTCATCAACAGAGAGCGGGCAATTGGGTAGCATCATAGTCTTATTATTTTTTATTACAAAGAAACTAGTTTGAATGGCTGTTGAAACTAGCCTCCCACCCATCAGTAAATTCTATCCTAATTAGTGGCACCAGAAGAGAACATACATGGGAACCCTTGTTTGAACCACCGCCCTAAAAATACCCAACCAGAATGACTAAAAATTACAATGATTTATAGCCATCATATTTACTGTATATATTTCTCATATAATAATCGCAAACAATACAGGTAGTTCTCACGCAACTGACCCCCAAATTTCCGTGGCTAAGCAAAGTGAGTTTTGCCTCATTTTACCACGTTTCCTACCACGGTTGTTAGGTGAATAACTGCAGCTGTTAAGTGAATCTGGCTTCTCCCCGTTAACTTTGCTTGTCAGAAGGTTACAAAAGGCGATCACAAAACTCTGGGACACTGCAACGGTCATAAATGCATGCCAGCTACCACACATCCGAATTTTGATCACATTTTGACCATGGGGACGTTGCAACAGTTGTAAGTCACACCGTCACTAAATGAATGGTTATATAAGTTGAGGACCACCTGTAGTCTAGGAGTGAGCATCTGTGTGTGAATATAAAGCAGTCGTGTTCAGTTCACTGTTGAACATGGCTTGTTAGAATATCTACCGTTCTCAGATGCTCAGTAAATTAACCTATGCTCATCTTAGTCTTCATGCTAGATTACAGAGTCTATAGACCATGGGTTATTTCGGGTCCTCCTTCTTTTTTCAAGATTGACCAGGAATCAAGAGAGGATGAGAAAATAAACTTGGACATACAACAGAACCAAAGCATTGTCATACACTGAGCTGTACCATGCCATAAATTTTTACATAGTGATCTGCCCACTGAAGGCAGTGGTGAGATTCAATTTTTTTTTTACTGCCGGTTTGTAGAGTTGTAATTGCAGGAATGTTCCAATCTCGGATGGCAAACCTCAGATAAAGAATGTTTCCAAGCAAATACAACTCAGGTAAACAAAGTCACTAATCTAAAGGAGGATTAGAGAGAGGAAGTAAACATACGTTAGACTTTAACTAGAGATAATTAATTGTATTAATTACTGTGCTAAACAGTAACGAAAGTTAAGCAGTAACCAAAGTTAACCAATGATGGGGGATAATTAAAAATGTGTATAAATGCAAGACTAGACTCCAATAAAGATCATCATGATTCAGTTGTTCATGATCAAACAACTCGACTGCCTCGTCATTACAACACCGGTTCTATGGGTGTGGCTTGGTGGGCGTGGCAGGGGAAGGATACTGTAAAATCTCCAGTCAGAGGTGGCATTTGCCGGTTCTCTGAACTACTCAAAATTTCCGCTTCCAGTTCTCCAGAACTGTTCAGAACCTGCTGAATACCAGCTTTGACTGAAGGGTAGGTTCTTCCCCACTCCAGCCCGGCCCACTTAACATTGGTCCTTTTTCAAGCACTGAAAGAAAAAATCTGGACCTTCAGAAATCATCTCCTGTGCTTAATATAAATCTGTTTCTCATAACAGAAAATGAACCCCCCTCTAATTGTCTGAAGGAGGGGTGTATGTGTGTGTGTGGGGGGGGGGGGGAATACAGCAGGCCTAGCACTTTCAGATGGCCCTGCAGCCTTGAAGTAAGCAACTCTGCAGTGCAAACAGCAGGTGGATTGCAATTCCCCCATCCATTTTCTCTCCAAAATGTTTCCACATGGTTTGTACTTTTGTTTGGTTTTAGGTTAACAAGGAATGTGTCAGAGGGCTCTGGGCTGGACAACAACAGGAACTGATTTTTTTCCGCAATCGTAACCCAGAACGAGGCAGCATCCAAAACAATAAACAGGTGTTGAGGAACCTGATTAACTCTTCATGCGACCAGCCTCTGGGATACCCCATGTATGTTTCTCCTTTGACAACATCCTATATAGGGACTCACAGTCAGCTGAAAAATCTCTGGGGTGGACCGATAAGTCTCGACAACATCAAAAGATGGTTCAGGAACAAATGGCTTAGGTAAGCACAAAGGAGGGCTCATAACCAGAGATCTTTCATTGCATCTCAACAGATGTTTTAAAGCAGGGGTTGCCAACCTTTTTTACCTCAGGGACCACCAAACTCATAATTTTAGATCCCAGGGACCACTAACCGATTATGTGGGCATGGCCTAATTTGTGGGTGTGGATTGGTGGTCATGTGACTGGCTGGGCATGGCTTGTATGTAAATATTATAAATATATAAATGTTTATTTTTTATTTAAAAAAGAGCAACTTTTACCCAAAATCAGGCAAAGCAGACAGGCTGATTGAGTTGCTCACAGAATCAGATTCATTCAGAGATCTATCTATCTTCCATTGGCTAGCTCAGTCTGTCACATAAAATTTGCTTGCAAGCAAACTCACAAAATTAACTCACAACACACCATGTATGTAAATATAGATTTTTTTTTTATTTAAAAAAGAGCAACTTTTACCCCAAATCAGGCAAAGCAGGCAGGCAGATTGAGTTGCTCACAGAATCATTCATTGATCTATCTGCCATCGGCTAGCTCAGTCTGTCACATAAAATTTGCTTGCTGTGAGTCTGCACTGAATAATTGAAACTTCAGTCCTAAGGGAAGTTTGGCTGTGCTTAAAAGCAGAGCCAAAGATCTAAAGACTAGCTAGAAAGCAAGAAATCCAACGATTTCCTGCTTTCTAGCTAATCTAAATCTCCCGGCACAGCAGAACAACTGATGGTCAGAAAAAGAAAAAAGGAAAAATAGCAACTTTGCAGGCAAGTTTGCTAGGTAAGGAGTGAGTGGGCGGGGAGGGTTCCCACGGGCCATATGGGTGGTGCAGCCTTGTGTTCCTACACAGCCTGGATTTAATGCTTTGGGGGTGACATTTCTCTGTAGACCACCAAAATTTTCTCGTGGACCACCAGTGGGCTGCGGCCCACTGGTTGACGACTGCTGTTTTAAAGGACATCTTAGGGTTCTCAAAATACAAGATTTTTTTTTAATGAGAACATTAAGTGATACACACTGTTTTCACTGTCTAAAATAGAATTTGTTTGTTTGTTTGTTTGTTTGTTTGTTCATTTTATTTACTTGATTTCTATAACCAAGCATCTCAGCAAATTACTCTGGGCAGCTATAGTAATCAAATACTATTAAGTTGAGATACTTACTATCTACTTAAATTAGATCAGCAACCCCGTTCCCTTCTTGTAAAAGTTATATGCACATCCTCTTGTGCTCTTCACAGCTAGTTTTGCTGTTTTCCAGGAGCTCTTCCTTTTAGAAGTTAAAGCACAATAGTGATGCATCCATTCCTATTGTTTTCTCATTGCATCCGGATTGAGCTGAACATCCTACATATTCAATGAACATGGTGTCTTCATTATATTTAAGTAGTTATTAATTGAAAGAAGTTCACTGTGATTGTGTGTGTGTGTGTGTGTGTGTGTTGCCGGAACTATGTATACAGTATATAGCGTACGTATGTATGTATGTATGTATGTATGTAGCAGGAACTCATCTGCTTTCAGATTTTCTTAATTTTTGTATAACATTGAATCTGTTCTACAATGTGCTAGTGGCAAAGATTTGTAAAACTTGATAAACGCAGAAAAGGCAAGTACTTTATTATAGAACAGTATGTATCTCCAGAGGAATGTTGGTTTTTTTCATCCTTTGTGGCTCCATCTTTCTCCAAATACCAACTATTCTGTTCCTTTCGACAGTGTTGCAGTATTTTATAATTTAGATGGACTGAGAGTGAATGCCGTGATACAGAATCATTTGTTACCACTCTGTTGATGCTGAACCAAATTCGCCTTTGACAAATAACAAAATAATACATTTGACCAAACGATATAAGCTGCAGAATTGCATAAACTATTCTACTTGCAGTGAATTTCTCAATTTACTATGGAACCAGGTCATGAGGTTAATAATGACATATGAAATAGCCAGGCAAATTTGTCACAAGATTTTTTTTTCAGCATTTGATTTTTCAGAATTAAACTACCTGGGTGAATTGAAGAGTTTTATAACTGTTCAGAAGCAGAACTAAAAGAATTCCTAAATGATTCTTCTACAAACTAAGAACCAAAATGGACCTCCCAATTTTTCTTGTGACTATTTTCAGTGGGGATAATAACATCATAAAAGAGAGGAGGGATACACTTGGGGGGTGGGGGGGATGCAGGCCTTTAATATCTTTATGTTGTTATCATCCACTTACATATTTCGATCTAAACTAACTCTGAAAATAAAATGTGGAAGAAAGCATTGAGCTTTTCTCAATAAAAGTATTGAGCTGCTTAGAAATAAGAACAAAGAAAAAATGTAGGGGGGAAAAACTGGCAAGATTTATGTCCTAAGTACACATTCCATTACTACTGCATTTCAATATTGCTTTTTATATGAAATATTTCAGTCATATCCAGTGGAATATTTAATGTGCAACTTGCACAGCTCATTGCTATTATTGGCCAAAATATTTCCTGTTTCATATGAGCCCAGTATGAAAGCTGACAGAGATATGTCAATGAACATCTGCCTTTTCCTTAATTTGCCAAAGAAATGTAAAGCAATTCTGAGAGTAAAACTTTAGGTTGTATTTGTCAAAGAACGGCCTTTCTGGTCCAGTACTGTGTTCCCACTGTGGAAAACAAAGACGCTGGAAGCAAAGGCAAAACACCTTGCTTAGGGCCCAAGTGCTCCCGACTATTTCTCTTCTAACAGAATGCAGAAGGATTGTAACCCAAACCACAGCAGAGGAAGCTGCGAGGAAGGGGCCAGCAGGAATGGATCTTCCAGCAGTAATCCAGCTAATAATTCAAGCCAGAGCAGCAGCTCCCAGCATACAAGGAACAGCACACCCCAACTGCACCCTTCCCTTCAGATTGCTCAGTTCTCAGGTACTTATCTTCAGTTGCATTTATTCCCTGGCAGAAGGGTATTATGGGACTGACCAATAATGAAAATGTTATGGGTGGCGTCCAATGCAAGTTAAACACAAGGTGTTGCAAAAATAAAACTGTAACAGTGAATGTGACAGTAAATTCCTTGCTTAGTCCAAAAGATAGTCAACGAAACATATGCCTAATCGACATCAAGCTGTTCCCCTGAACCCCTTGCCTTATCTGCAATAAGAGCAAACATGTCATGATGTTATATTGCAAATGACACCAACTGCATCACTTATATAATTTTTGTGATGGTATCATGACCTATGGGGCATCCACATGCCTTCTACTGGAGGTGTTTTTCATGTCCCACGAGACAGATTCAGGAAGGAATCTTGCACTTAAACTGCTCTTGGTGTCACCTTAAGATTCTTTTGAAATTAATAGGTTTGAAAAAGCTTATAACTCTTTCCTGGAACTGTGGCCACAAAGGTTGCAGTTGCCTCCTGGGGTGTGCATGCTGTCCTTAGAATTAATGCACACACATATGCTGAAAATATTTACCCATACAGAGTAATACTAAGCTCACAATGGTTATTGCTGCTAAACTGATGCAATTATTTAACAGTACTGTATGCCTATTTGCTTTCACAAGCTACTCCAAAGGTAATTGGAAAAACAAGCTTAACTATAATACAACAATCATGGATCAGCCAAGGAAGTTAGTTTGTGTGGGCGGCCGTACAAATCTTTTAAATAAATAAAATAATTTAATAATTAATTTTATTTGGCTTTATCTTTTCATCTACAGCTCTTAACAGTCAAACTTTTCATCTACAGCTCTTAACAGTCAAACTTCTCTAAGTAAATTTAGGCATGGGAATGGGCTTTAAGCTTCAAAAATGTATTTACAGAAGGATATAAAAGACTCTTTTGTTTCCTAAGTATTTGCAGAAATTGAGTTATTTATGTGGACATATGGGTGGTCTACTATAAAACACTTTAACCACTGAATTAAAGACATGTATGAGATATTTTTGGACAGTGGTCAGATTAACTGTTTAAAATGAGAACAGATGTTTAATTACTTTTGACTGTGAATGTCAGCATACCAGAATTCTCATCATACAGTGCTCCCTAGCTACAGTATATTTTTACTTTTTTATTTAACAATATTAGTATTAAAGTAATCATCAAAGAATGAAATTTAAGACATTGAAAAAATGAACTTTTCTACAAGTCTGCAACCAATACTTTCCTACTCCACTTCTAACTGCAATAACATTTAAGGGTGTAGATTCAAAAGAATATCAGAGGATTAATAATTTTACATTTTAAAATTGAAAGTAGATTAACAACAAAAATGATTTAGTATATGCTTAATTGTTCCAAGCAGAAAAAAATTAGAATAGTTAAGAATTGCTTGCAATATAAAAATAGTCCTCATATACAGTAAGTTTTAATTATTTCATGTGTATTTAATACATAGATGGAAAGCCAAGTAGATTTTAATAGAAAACACACATTTATCACATTATGTATGCATGTGTGTGTGTGTGTGTATGTATGTGTGTGTGTGTGTGTATATATTTGTTTTTGTAGATTTTCACGGGTACAGGTATGTAGGTCTAGGTGTGTTCGGGTCTTTTCCCGTGTAAGATTAAGAGTATCTTGGCAACGTTTCGGCGAGGTCCCACTTGCCATCCTCAGGCTGGTGCTTTCAGCTTCGTGCCAATGCAAGCAGTGTGTGATCGGAGCTGCCGTCTCTCTATAAATACTGGTGGTGGGGGCTGGTGTGCTGGGATGGTTGGCTGCCCTGCTGCCTCTTGATTGGTTGATGGAATTGATGTTGGTATAATGGGCTGTGTGATGGCCTTGTGAATTTTGTTGTGGACATATCCTGGACCTTGTGCTGTAATCTCCTGGGTCATTTGTTTTGTAGTGATCTTTTTTCCATTAGCCTCTTGTGTTTTAAAGGCTTGGGTAATGGGTTGTGTAATGGGCTTGCGAGTTCTTTTTTTGTGGTATCCTGGATCCTGCGTTGTAATCTCCTTGGTTGTTTGTGTTTTGATCTCTTTTCCATTAGCCTTCTGTGTAGTAATGGCTTGGGTAATGGGTTGTGTGATGACCTTGTGAGATTTATTGCTGTGGTATCTTGGTCTTGTGCTGTGATATCCTGGGTCATTTACTGTGTTGCAACTTCTTGAGTTCTTATGGTGTAATTTCCTGAGTTTTCTGATGTGATGTCCTGAGCGGGTGGCTGTGATGTAGCATTCTGGGTTTTAGTCTGGCTTTGAGTTTGGGGTCTGGGTCTGTGTTCTTGGTGTGTGTCAGCTTGTTTGGTTTTGGGGACGAGGGGTGCGACAGCTGGTGAAGCAGCTGTGGTCTGTTTTCTGGATGGTGGTTGTCCTTTGTTTATAGGATGGGCTTGGGCCTGGGTCTGATATGGGGAATTGACGGTGGTGTCCCATGTTGTTTTGGGTCTGGTGTTGGTTTTTGTGGCTGGGACTCATTTGTTGGTGAGGGCTAGCTTCCAGATGACTGGTAGGCGGGAGGTATCGTCCCGTCTATTCATGTTATGGAGGTGTTTCTCTATCTCATTGGCTTCCCTGATTATTCTCTTGCTGGAGTGTTCAGTGTTGGATATTAATTTGGTTCCTTTGAAATTAATTTTGTGTCCTGTGGCTTTAAGGTGCTGGAAGAGGGAGGAAGTATTTTCTTCTCTTCTGACTGCGTTTTTGTGTTCTGCGATGCGTGCATTTATTCTCCTGTTGGTTTGTCCAGTGTATGTGGCTGGGCAATTGTTGCATGGTATTTCATAAACTCCTTGGTTTTCTAGCTGGATCTTGTCTTTGAGGTTTCTTAGGATGTTGTCTATTTTTTGGTCAGTGCCGAAGGCTGTCCTGATATTGTGTTTGTGGAGAATTTTGCTGATTTTGTCTGTGGTGCCTTTGATGTAGGGGAGGAGTGTGATACCATTGTCTTGTTCTGTGTCTTGGTTTTTTGGGGGTATCTCTTTTCGGAGTAGATTGGTGATAGTGTTTCTTTGGAATCCGTTGGAAATTAATATGTTAGTGAGGGTGTGTAGTTCTGTTGTCAGGTGGTCTTTGTCAGCTAGGCATTTGGTTCTGAAGATGGTTAGAATGCAGGCCGGTTCAAGATTGACTCAGCCTTCCATCCTTCCGAGGTTGGTAAAATGAGGACTCAGGTTGTTGGGGACAATATGCTGAACCTGTAAACTGCTTAGAGGGAGCTGTAAGGCACTAGGAAAGTCTAGGTGCTATTGCTATTAAAACCTCTTTCAGATTTTCTGATTAAGCATATTTATTAAACTGGCCTCCTTGAAAGAATTATTTGTGAGTAGTGTTTTTGCAGTGGGCATTAACTGAATAGTGGGACTATGATTTGAAGGGTTTAATTAGGGATAGAGTTTCTGCAAATGATTTTCTCTCTTCATTTCTTTTTTGTTTAAAGGCAGGAGAAAATTCAGGAGCCAGTCTGCTCAGACGCATGCTGCCTTAAATCAAAGGCCCCCTCGCTCAAGTCATTCTGGTCCAATCTTAGAGAGTCATCCCCCCTTCATCCAGACTTCCACTTCGGCTCAAGAAATTGCCCCAAGACTTTCTGACAGCCAGCTCTCTTTCCACAATTCTGCGACCTCTGTGTTCTCCCCAACCGCTGCCATCCCTATCTTGGGCCAACTAACGGTGCAGGAGCAAGCCGGCGCTGTGATCAGGTCCAGTCTGGCCTCCTCCACCAGCTCCACTCTCAGCCTCCTGTTTGGTAAAAGAAGTTTTTCAAGTGCGCTGGTCATTTCTGGGCTCTCTGCAGCTGAAGGAGGAAACACTACAGATACCCAATCATCCAGTAGTGTTAACATTGCAATTGGGCCATCCGCTAGAGCAGCAAACCGCAACAAGCAAGAGCCTGTACGGGTAAGATATAGCCAAAAAGATGAACTTTATGTCTTATTCTGTCCTGGAAGAAATCTGTCTTATGTAGTTGTTAAGATCTGTAACCAACTGGATGGCAATTAATCAATTACTGCCTTATTCTGCCATAGGGATTGGGCATTTATGGCTCCTGAGCCATGTGTGACTACAACAAATGCTTTTTTCTATATATAATTATATTAAAATTATAATATGAAAGGGTCCAAGGAGAAAGGTGGATTAGGCAGCCACTGATTAACTTTGTGTTTAAGTTATTTGAGTAAGCATCACCAACACTGTCACTTCTCACGCTCCACAAAAATTGTATCAGCTATAGCTACATCACAAACAACCCCTGTTACCACTCAATCTTGGATCAGTTTTGTTCATTACTCCAAATCTGGAACCGAACAATATTTAGTAAATTCCTGAAACTGGTTTTCCAAGTGCCCTGGGTTGTTTTTGGTTTTCTGGTTTTACTGTAACTCCTTCTGTTCTAGATTATTCTGAAACCTAAGAAATCAAGGTGAAAATATCTGGTGACCCATGTAAAAGGTTGAGGAAACTGGCCTCCAAATACAGACCCCTTTTTGGCAAGGCTTCTTTGAACGGTGTTGTTGAAACACTAATAACGCTGTCTCTCTTTGTCAAAAGCAATTGTCTGATGATTATGAAGCAACTGATACGGCTGAATCCAGACGGCGAAGGGACCTCGGAGCTACTCACGCTTTCCTGATAAGCCATATGGTGGAATGCAGAAGGGCCAGCCAGGAGGACATGGCTCTAGAAGATTCTGCCTCTCAACACAGCCTTTCCGAAGAGTAAAAAAGAAGAGGCTCACAGAAGGGGAAAATGCCTTATAAAGCTGATTTTTTAAAAAAAAAATAAAATTGGGTTAGTTTGCCAGAGGAATGAGTAAAACGAACAAAAATTAAAGGATCTATTTTTTTTTTTTACCCTTTCACAAGAAAGCCTTTCATTAAAAAAAATGTAAGGAAGATAATATCTCACTAATAATATTTAGTGCTACCCACATCACAGGTTACTGGAATTCCAGATCTGATTGAAAAGAAAACCGATCTGGCCATCTATTGTTGGCAAAGGAACACTACTAGGCAGTATTATTGGGGTGATTTGCAGGGAGGGCCAGGGGCAGATTACATGTTTGATAGTGAGACTGAAAGCAAAAGAAAATCTGAATACGGTTCAGTGAAAAAAGCACATCAACATCTGTCTCTTGTCATAACCAAATAGATGATTGCATGCTAAATAATTGGCTTTTTATACATAATGCATAAAAAAGGATTGTTTGTAATTGAAGCAATGAATATGGAACAGGAAAGAAAGCTGCCTACTCTTGAGATTAGTATGCGGAATCTTTAAAAAAAAAAAAAAGTCAGAGGAAAGCTGTCTTTGTTTGAAGTGTTACGCAGCTGACATTTCTGTGCTGCAACATATTAATTGTGGAGGTGGCCCACTGCATGCAGCCATAAGGAAATTGTCCATAAAAGTGCCAGGCAAACACACTGCTACGAACCAAATAGAGCCGATGCATGAATAGCCTTCACAAAGCCAACAGTGCTCCTTATTTGCAAACAAATGCAGCTTTCTCTGTTGTTCATCCTCACAACAAAACTCCACGTCTTTTCCTGCAACCGAGAAAATTAACAACTCGAAATTGCTTTTGTGCTCTCTTACATGAACAGACTTGTTGATTTTTTTGTAATTAAAAACTTTACAAGTACCAGTGTCTGGTTTTGTTATTATACAGAATTTGTGTATTTTACTACAATAGTGATATATTTATGGAAGATAGCTTGCTGCTTTGGGGTCTTTTTCTTCCCTTCTACTTGTTTTTCTAAGGCATGTCTTGTTTTGCACAAAGTGGTGAGTGCTTATAGGTATTTCTTTGAGGAGATTGAGATGATGCTGACCAAGATCTTGCCTCAATTTTTTTTGCTCACAGCAGTAATGGTGGGGTGAGGTGGATTGAAAAATGATTCAAAATAATGTAGCAGCCAGGTTCAAGACAGGTGGGATCCTAAGCCTTGATTCTCCCAGGCCAACTTCAACAATGAACGCATGTTGGCTCAGGTACAACATCTAAGGGGCTGGGGGAGAAGATAGTAAATGGGATCAGAGAGACATGCTCACACTCCGTAGCTCTTTGCAGCTCTCTTCTGAGACTGGGGTGAAGCTTTTCTTGTCACTACTAATTCCAACAAGATATTTAGCTACCCTCCATCCCTCTGTCCCCTCCCCAATTTCCCCATGGTTTTAAAGTGAACTTCATAGTATAGTAGTCAATAAAATGAACTCCGTGCACCCCACTTTTGATACGCATTGCAAGCTATTCTTGCTTGAGATTAGTCTAAGAATTAGTCTGTGGAGAGGAGGCCCTTGGCAATAAATGTAAGACTAGCTTCCCACAGGGTTCTTGTGTTGTCATAGCTCCAGAACCCAACACACACAGTCTGAAACAACCTTTATGCCAATCCAAAGTACTGCATAGCCAGACAAAATTCTCATCTGATATGGGATTGAATTCTATGCTAGTATAGCATAGAACTAGCATAGTTCTTTTATACTATAGAACTAATGTAATAGTAATACTATAGTATAGAAGTAGGCTGGTATAAAACTTTGGCAAAAAGAAATGTTCCATGATGAATCACAGCCAGGGCAGCTGTGTTAGGAGATATGTGCCGATTTATGGGCAAAAAAAAAAATGCCTTTCATATGATAATTCCAACAAACACACGAACAACTGTTTTACAGTGCTTCAAGGATAATTTTCTAACGTCAGACGATTCTCTAATAGTTGGAGGCAAAGCAGAAAATGATACACCTGTCACACATTCTCTGTGATTTTAAACTTGCATTGTTTGCTTCTAATTTTCCTGGAATGGATTCAAGTAATCTTTCATGCACAAATCCACAGCTGTCCCATGTTGATTTTAAGGGCATTGTTTACTAAAGTCACAAACAGCTCAAGAAGCACACCAAGGCCCCATTGGTGCTTGGCAGAAGCTTCAGTCTATTTATTTTTGACATAGCATTTTTTGCACAGGGCATTTTTTTCTGAATCTATCTTGCTTCTTCCAATATTTTTCCTAGTACTTTCTAATCCCACCATTTCAAGCTTGGGTTTTCTTTTTGGCTTCTTCGTAGACCATTTCCATTCCAGAGTGGTGTTTACCTAGCAGATAGAGATGGTGGTCTTTTTCTTTGAATGTCAATCTAATTTTTAGCCTCTTTTCCCCAAGGTTTTACTATTACTGAAGATACAATAGCACTAGCACTTAGACTTATATACCACTTCACAGTGCTTTACAGACCTCTCTGAGCAGTTTACAGAGTCAGCATATTGCCCCCAACAATCTGGGTCCTCATTTTTACTGACCTTGGAATGATGGAAGGCTGAGTCAATGTTGAGCCTGTCAGGATTGAACTCCTGGCTGTAGACAGAGTTAGCAATAGCAATAGCACTTAGACTTGTATACCACTTTATAGTGCTTTACAGCCTCTCTAAGCAGTTTTACAGAGTCAGCATATTTTTTCAAGAGGCACCTTTGGGATAGGAACTAACTAAGGGCTTTGGAATGAACTTCCCAAGTCCCAGACTGAAAGATTATTGAAAATCTGAAGGAAGATCTTAAACCTAAAGTGCGTGCGAGTAAAGAACATTTCTGAGCCCAAAACATTATGTAAGGAAGAAAGGGGGGAAATCCAAAAACAAGAACTGAAAGAGTAAGAGAAAGTATATGAAACATTTGGAAGCTGTTGTTTCTGTCAAAGGAGGATTTGCAGAATGCTGACTGAAAGTGCGCTTAAACTTCTGCACCTGCCATGTTTAATCTTTTCTTATTCTGAATCTGTCAACTGCACATATAAATATGCATTCAGAACTGCAGAAATATCTGTTTACCTTTGTCCCATGTAGAGGTTGTGTCAGCTTCTATTTCACTTAGGGATTCATTGGAACGTACAATTTGACCAGGAATGTCTAATTGTTTGCTCTTGTATGTACTTTGTTCTGAGCCATTGGATGAAGTTTGGTATTCTGGCCATTCTGTGGCCTAATGGAATCCCTGACTGAGCAGATAATCATGGCCTTGAAGGCTCCCAAGGCTTTTTTTGCTTAGATTTGCTGAGCCTAACTGAGTCCTGGCTAAAGATGTCAGGTGCTTTGCTAGCTTTATACCCAGGTTGTATGAAATTGACTTCTCCTCGTATGATTTTTGTCTTAGAGAGGGTTGACAGTGTATAGCAGTTCCAAGGCAGATGTCATTGCAATGGATGGATCAATGGGTGAAGCCTGGGCTGATGCAGTGTGTACCTTTCTTCAGAAGTGGAGATCAAATTATATGGCCAGTACCTGGAGGTTTCAAAAGTCAGTCAGATTCCAGGAATCAGGGACATTTTGTCAAACTTTACTCAGTTGTGATCTGCTTGAGTTAAACTAGATATGACAGCGCTAAATACCTCTTGCCCCATGGCATACAAAGTGATTGTGGATGTTGAACATGAGCATAGACAGCTACCTTCATAAAGCATGCACATAAAAGGTGCAAGATGAATCTTACTGGATATAATAAAGTCATCACTCAAGTTAATGCTCAAGAAAGAAAATAATTATTGACTTCCTCTTTGATTGGATTCACAACAAACCAGCTAACAACAATTTGTCATCTCACAGTTGGCTGGCTCAGCCCCTTTGGAAATATACATGGTGTTAATGTCCAGACTGACAAAACCTCTTGAGACAGGTTCATCAACTTGTCACTTGAGGAAATGGATAAACTCTTTCATACCACTATTTATTAGGTCTGTTCATAGTTCAAAAATGATTTGGAAGAAGTAATTTCGGCATCATGCAAACACAGTACCTCTTTGTCTATCATTAAAACAGCAACTAGAATAAGCTTTTTTTTTAAAGTGCAACTCCATGAAGGAATCCTTAATTATTCCATTTATACTTTGTTACAATCCCATAGGACTTTTGGTAGCTTTACAAGAATATAAAAATCATAACAACATCCACTGTCCTGTTAAAATCATACAAAATCTGAAATGTTTAAAGAGCAGAAAAGTCAAACGTCAGAGGTCATTCCTCCTGGAAAAAGTTCCAAATTTAACCGCTTCCAGAAATGGCCAAAATCAAAGGTAATTATTGGCCAGTTTACATAATTACACAAGGCCATAATATTATTTGCTTTGGCCTTAGCAAATTATGTCCATCCAGCTATTTGCAGTTTATTTAAATAAACTCTGATTGAAAGAACAGCGGCTTCATGCAGTTTACATAAGTTATTAGTTTTCTGATGCATATAATATCCTCCCCCCCCCAAAGTCTAGCTGTATTTGCCTAGTTGCAGGCACTCTCTAGCCAACCTTGGCTGATTTATTTTATTTATTTTTATTTGTCAATTGCTTACAAGATAATAGGTATAAGTAAAATCATAGTTATGAATACATGGATACATATAAGAAAAATAAAAAATATAAAAGAAACAATAGGACAGGGACGGTAGGCACGTTGGTGCGCTTATGCTCGCCCCCTACAGAACTCTTAGGAAAGGGGTGAGGTCAATAGTAGACAGTCTAAGGCTAAAGTTTTTGGGGTTTGGGGAAGAAACCACAGAGTCAGGTAGAGTATTCCAGACATTGACCACTCTGTTGCTGAAGTCGTATTTCTTGCAATCAAGTTTGGTGCGATTAACCTTGAGTTTGTATCTATTGTTTGCTCTTGTATTGTTATGGTTGAAGCTGAAGTATTCATTGACAGGTAGGACATTGCAATGTATGATTTTATATACTATACT